GGGCGGGGGGGCGGGGGGGGGGTCGGCTGGTCGGGAGGTACTCGATCAACTATTTAGTGGTATGAACAATTATTTATTGATGGTACTTATGGGCTACAGGTGGACGAGATCCACTCTGAACGAGGCGGCCATGCGTGGTTGCTGAGCAAAAAAAAAAAAATCACATCTGCTTTGGGTAAGTCAAGTCTGTCGAATCGCAAATCATGTCGGCGACTCTGGTCGGGCCGATGGCAAATGGTCAATAACTGGGCCACTTTTCCTAGATTGATCTAGGTTACTTACGTGGGAAATGGGGGCGACCAAAAAGTGAAATTTCGCTTGGGTACTTCCTTCATGAAGCCAACGGTTTTGTGCAAAATTTTTGAAAAAATGAAAGAGAGGACAGATGCGTATGAAGAACTCAGAACTGCCTTTCTTGAACTAGTATTTCATTTGAAGTTGCACTGGGTAACTGCATCTTCAGAGCTATTAGACTAACTGCTTTAGCAGTGGAACCTGCAGCCATTGCACTGCTTCAGCTCCATGTCAGATCGTTGATGAAATAAATGCTCATACCAGTAGATCTCTGAGAAAAAAACTATAATCAAACGGCAGGAATTCGACATGACATCTCGGCGCACGATAGAGTCGACGGGAAACAGACGTCCGGGGAGAGCCGGTCCGCATCACAGAGTCTTCAGGAATCGGTTGTAAATTTCCACAGGGGTTTTGGCAATGTCGGTGCAGAAGGTGGCATCGTCCAGGACGACCAGATCCTTGAGGCACACGTAAAGGGGCAGCTTCGGGTCGTACTGCGCCCGGTCGAGGCGGACGAGGAAGAGGTGGCGGGGTCGCGTCCGACTCAGCCTCGCCTGAAGGACTTGCGGCCAAGAAAGGAAGTCCTCGTGCTTCATCCCCACCTCCCGGTGGAAGAACGCGAACCGGTCCATCAGGTGTTTTGTAGCTAAAAAAATTTATTGAAAACTCTATTTAAATTTTTGTTGAACAGCTCCTCAGAAGATAACATGCCAGAATAAAAGCAGCAGGATTACATAAGTCAGAATGAGGCCAGACTGGAACTCAACACGCACTCTTCCTATGTCTTAGCCCGGCTGAATAAATGAAGGTAGAAAAGGATTTTACACATCTTTAGCTGGATCTAGGTGCTTCATCAAGCCATGGGATCCCATAGATTAACCCATCATTAATATTAAAATTGAGTTAACAATTTTTATAGAGAAAGCAAACTGTCTATTTTTCATTTTCAAGTGGTTGAGGGGGTTGCAAAGCAAAAATAGCATATTGGAATACTCCAAGCCAATTGCATCAGCACACATCCTTGAAGACATTCAAAGTTCATGCACCATTCAAGGCAAGTTCGAGATTGCATGTAAGAAGCACAATGACTCATTTTCATATTTAGATCCAAGAATCATATTCAGAGAAAAACCCACAAATTGTGAAGAGCTTCGGGACACCGAGAAGCAGTTCCTTCATCTGGGGCAACGAGAAGCCAAGTTCTTCATGGAGACTAAAAACCAATCCCTTGAAACGCATCATCGGCTGGACGATCAAACGAGGATGCTTGACGACCACCAGACGCACCTCGTCCCCTTTCAGGCGGAAGGTCTTCTGCAGCCAACCCATCCGCTCATCCAATGTCTCCACACTACAACACAATAAATATCAAGCACCTCTGAGGTTTTGTACAGATGAGGACTGCATAGAAATATCCTTTACTCAAATAAAATAAATTTCACCAGTTTTTTCCTTCATGGAGTTCAGACACTAATCAGAATGTTCCACCATAATATGAGAACTGAAACGAGAATACTCACAAAAGACTGATCATGCTATTCATGATCCATGACAGTGCTCAGATTGAAAAACATCAAACAAACCACAGGATAACATAACACATGCATTGCATGGCAGTAAGTGTCAATAGATTTTGGCTATACATCAAAGGTGGACACCTGAACATGGGCATCACCATCCTGATTTGGCAAAATGGCTTAAGTATATGGTGGCATCATAAATTTCATAAGAAATTTCTGATGATACCATAGCAATAAGTTAAACCAAGACTAAAATGATTGGATCATGAAATTTTAACATCAGCCAAACATCAAGATTAAAAGAAGAAAAAAAGGAATGCTGGTACGTCTTCAATCCAAAGACTCAGAGAAAAAAATTAAATCATGATGCAATGAAAAGTTTTCATCCTTAATAATTCAGCAGTATTTACACGTTCTACCTTGGTTGACGATATGATTCTGACGAACAAAATAAGATCGCAACAACTGTTGCAGTTAATCACTTCTTTTACAATTACTCTCTGTGGAATGCAAGATCATAGAATAAAGATGAATATCAATTAATTATTCCTATAGGAAAAGACCTTTCACCTACTGAATATCAAACTTTTAATTTATTTAAATTTAACCTTTTCTTTGAAATAGTTCCCTTACTACTCCTTCCCATAGTTCATCCTCAAAATGATGACTCTTCATGTAAATAGGTTTCAGTTCTGACAATAGCTTGAAACAACACAGTCTAAGAATGAGTCTTGTTGTGTACCAAAAGTGGAGTAACACCGATATTTCTTGGGCATAACATATGGTGTGTAGAATGAGAATCTCACACAATGACTTCTAAGACTATACATACTGCTCTGAGACTCTAGAGATAGTTTCATTCCCATTCAGTAAGAAAGCAAAGTCAATAAGACTTTGGACATATCAAAGTATTAAAGAAATGAAATCTGTGGTATTGAAGGGCTGACAAAAGATATGGACTGACCGCAGGGATAAGAACAAGGGAGTCCTGGTAACAATGGCACCAATCTCGTTGTTGGTGAATTTTTTTGCTCTCAGATAGGCAACTCGCTCTTCCAGAGTGTCCAAGCCCTCCAAGAGTAGATAGAAATTCTTGCTCAAGATGTATCCTAGACTCTCTGTTTCTATTTCCAGATCCATCAAAAACCTGCAGAAACAAAGGAAAAAAGAATGCATACAAGGGTCGGAACAAGGATGAGAGTGAAGTATTGGCACGCTTAATCCAATACCAGGAGTCCCAATATGTTACATTTTGAAAAATCAATATTATTATATTAAAAACAAACTTTATTTAGCACCATAAAGTTTTCAAATAGGCATTAACCCAAAGAGAAGAAGTGTAAATTCTCCACTAGGTGCCCACTAACCTGGTAGTACCACATGATACAATGTGCCATGTATTTGAAAGTGTGGTGACCCAACGTCATTTCTGAAAGAAATATTTTTCTAAATGTAACATTTTTTTTAGCAACACCTGGTATAGAATGGATGCACAAACGCCCAGATCATAAATCTTACAAAGAAACTGTTAAACTGCCAGTTCGAGTTCCAGAGAAAGTATCAGTTGATTGTAACCACAAAAAATTCTCTTCTATTTTTCAATTCCATATCTTTTGTTCAGTTAAAGAAAATCTCCTTCAGAATTAGCTCATAGGCTTATGCTACATTCACTCAGGCAACTTCATTATGTGATCAGTACACTCAACTTCAAACCTGACATGATCTCTCTTGGAAAGTCTATGAAAACTGACACAATTTACAGCCTCCGATGGCAACAGGAACCTTGGAATGTCATCAAGAAATAACCGATGAGGCCTTAAATCAGGCCAACGAGGACTGTCTTGGCCAGCTAGAAGTAGGTTGAGTTGTGTTCCAAGAGCTCACCTGATGAGAGGAGCAACATGCTTCTCAAAGTCCAACTTGGCCAATTCTTCCCCCTTCCCTTTGGTCTGAATTCGGTGCAAGTCGACACCTAGCTTCACCAACTGCTGTAAGGTTTCAGACTTGTCCACAAAAGGGGCAAGGTTGAACGAGGCCGGCAGAGGCGGGCTCTGAAGGTCCAGATCCTCGCTCGTCCGAGGCTTTCGGAACACCGGTGGAACGTCTTCCACGTCTGTGTCAGATTGGTCTTCCTCTATCTGAGATGTCACTGACAGGTCAGATTCTGAAAAGGGCCTAAGCTCCTTTTCATCCAAAGATGCTTGTTCTGCCAAATGCGTAGCTTTCTCGTCTTCCAGAGAAGAAATTGCAGACAAGTGTCTTCGTGCAAACCGATGGATATTATTCTCTCCCATCATCCACCGACCGGTAACGTCCGATCTAGGCATCTTGAAGGCAGGGATCCCCGATGGATGACCTTCGAGCGATGGAAGCACAGACCCCCTAGCTTCAACATTTCTTTGAGTCCATGCCGACCGAGCAAACAGCTTCAGGAGGCGGAGAGTGCACCAAGATAGGCCTACTTGTGAAGTTGCCTGTGACGACAACGCCAACACGTTGAGGCTTAACCCGTCCACCCTGCGAAATCTCTGACCGATCATGCTCACTTCAGTCGAGCAACGATCCCAGAAAAATCTACTGGACCATGCAGTCACGTGTAACCGCAACCGTGACCGCAACTAAGCAGCGGGGAGCCATATTGATTCACGGATGCCAAGCCAGTGATGCCCGATCGACTCAGCAAACCTATCTAAACAAGGAACGTTTTCAACGTTTCTGATACATAGCTAAGTGATACCAATTCCAATCAAGCAATGAAGTCCACCACCTTCTTCATCTGTCTATTGGCAGGCTCTAGGCATCCATCTTTTCAACTCCAATCTGTTCTTAGTCCTTTTCTTCATTCCCACAAACGATCCTTCCTTTAGTTCCTCCAGCATGCCAATTCTTTTCCTCTAGGTCTTTTCTCTTCCATGCTTCCTTCTTTCACTTCCTTCAACGATCCTTCTTTCTTCTCGCAATCGTTTCCACCAGTCCTCTTTCTTTCTCCCTACAACTTCAAGCACCTCATTCGTTCTTCGTTCTATCCAGCTCATTCGCTCCATCCTGCTCCACGTTTAAAATTCCTCCAACCTTCTGATGTCTTCCTTATAATAATGCAATCTTTTAAAACTAAATTGCGCTAATATCCGGTCTCAAAACGTGAATGGAAAAGTATGCATATCTTCCCCTCGAATAGTATAAATGAAAAAATCATGAATTTCAAAATGGAGGCGAGGGGGGTGAAAAAGTTTAAAGGGGTGGGATATTAGAATTAGAAATGAGTCTGTGACACGATAGCGATAAGCTATCGGGATTTTGGGAACGGGAAGGCGAGTTCAACTATGGAGAGTAGAACTGGAGGCTCCGTTCGAATCCCATTCTTTGACAGGGTTGGAATGTAGGACTTGGCTATTTCGGCGCTCTGTGCGAAGATGCTTTCAACCTCGCCTTCCCCCGAAGGGGAGAACGGTCGGTCCCAACTGTCCAAAAAGAGGCCGAAATGCATTCCCAGTCTCTGTAGTAAAATTGAGAGTGGCATCCATTATAGCTTCATTCATTCTGACACGTTTTGGCGCCTCTGGTGAATTTGCGCCCTGTGCGGGGGCACATGTGGCACGTGCCTGAGCTGGCCCTGATGCTCCCATCTAGCGTGCACGCGTGAACTCCCACTGCCGAGCAGCCGTCTCAACGAGACACGCATGTTGCGTTGAGGGATCCCTTCCGGTCGAATCCCCGGGCGAGTCGATTCCCGATTCCGCTGCCACGAAGCACGCCTCATGGAAGCGTCGTTGATAACAAGCCACCAGATGTCTCTGTAGTATTTGGACCCTTTCCTCGGGAGTGTCGCCTCTAGTTGCTCTATGCTCCCGAGGCTCCCTTGCGTGTGCGACTGGTTTATATTCGAGGGCAGGCTGTCAAGGTGATCTACCTTTCTGTTTGTCGATTCGAGTCAGGTTCTGGGGTTCCTTCTCGTAATAAACCTGGCCTGATTCTGCTAACGAGCAAGAATTGCTATGCAGATGTGTCAATAGCGCGAGTTCGGTCGGTTTCGCAGGCAACTCGAGTGACACCTGAAGGGGCTTTTAGTGTGGACCGGTCGACACGGATCACGACAGGGGTCGTATGATGTGTATTCATAATAGGAGCTCGTTGCAGGCGCTTAACACGATTGGCTTCATTAATAACCAAAAATAATTGAGTCGGGAAGATTTTAATTGAAAGACAGAGCGACCGAGAAGTTGTCTGAATTTCCATTAATGGAATTTCCTCTCGTGCGTGGTTCACAGATTTTGCTAATCCCTGACAGTGCTCAAAATGGGATTTTTTTTTTTCCTCGAGGAGATGGCTGGGAACGAGTTCTTCATAATGCTTTATGCCCGAACAGTAGCGTGCCCAGGAAATCCGATTGGGGAGGGGGGGTTGCCATATGAAACACTTGATTACCCACCATAATGGGGGGGGTTAAAATACGAAAAAACTGATAACCCATCCTGTATTTGTGGCAAAAAAAAATTTGTGAGAATCGAACCTGTAAAATTGACCCCAAGGGGGAAGGGGTTTGGGGGGTCATAACCCCTCCCCCCTTGGGCTGAATGCTGAAACCTTTATGGTCTTTTAGGAATACAAGGGCTCATGGGGAAAAAGGAGTTCATTAGCTTAAAGGAAGTTTTTTTTTTTTTTGCCCAAGGTTTACAAAAAAAATTCGATATTCACGTAAAAACTACATCTTTCCTCGCACTTCGGTTGAGGTTACCGTCCGGTTTGCAGAAACGAAAACTCTAAACGATGCTCTCGACCATTACAGGGGTCAGCGCTGGGTTGAACGGCGGAAGACCGAATCTCGTGGGCAAATTCGCTTCCCATTCCGATCGGAAGTCGCGCCGAAAAAACGTCAAGCGAATACTTTATAATACTTAATGCTTATATTGTTAAGCGAAGGTCGCGGCAAGGTTACTGGCCGACCAGCTTCGCTGCTTTAACTTCGGTGGATGGATCGTGTCGGAACTCGGTCGTGCAGGGATGCCATCCCGCCCCGTTTCGAGCACGCATCCTGGCGGAAAAAATTATTCTCGGGCCGTTGTTTTGCATAAAACATTCGTGCCATCATTTGATGTATCGACCTATAATTTCATTCTTTTTGGAACGGAATAAACACTAATTAGACAACGTACGAGTCTCCATGGTTTAAATTTGCAGAAAATAACTGGATGGACCCTCAAAGGATCAAGTGCTTAATGAATGAATTTAAGAGCAAATTCACCTCATCTTGAAGCAAAATTGGGCATAGGGGAAGCAAATGGGTAATAAAAAGAAAAACAAGTGGCGCACAAGCAATGAACATTTACTAATGTTGCTCTGATTCATGTGAAGAGACCAGCAAATACACCAAAGAATATTGGGCGAGGCAAGGAAGAAGTGGGAAGACCCCAAATCCACGCCAGGAAATAGGGAGTGCCAAAGAGTGCAGCCCCCATCAAAACGACAAGTATTCATTTGTGGAGATTCTAGCACAGCCATTGACAAAAGAAGCGTTTTCCTGGTGCACAAGAGGAAATCAATGATATTTCAATGATAGTTTGAACATTTCACGCATTTGTAACATCTGAAGTTCCACGATCACGCAGTCAAACGGTCAAAAGAAAGGGGAAGGAATCGATTACATCGGCAAAATTCTGCCCTGGTAAAATCACTTGGAGGTGTAAAACATCCAAGCAGTGCATTCGACAAAGAAGCACGCTTACTGTTCGAGGGCAAGTTGCCACCCTCGCAAGATCTTTCACAAGTCTTCTCCCAGCAGAGAAAACAATTGGTTCAACAAAAGTCATCTGTGTCAAATCTATTTTTAAGATTGAAGACTAAAATAAATTGTCCAATACTTTACTGCAGGATATCTTCTTCTTGACAGCTGTTGGTGCAGACCAAGCACAGGGATCTGCATGATTACCTACCACTACCTACAATAATGAAATCTCCAAGTAATCGTTCTATTGCACAAGGGCAGGAACTGGCATTAATTCCAACATCAAATTGGAAGCAAAGCATCACCACTAATGTTAAATCTTCACAGGCACTGGTTCGGGAAAATGTTAAACGAATTTCTCCCAAGATAAACACACCTCAGATGAGAAAACCACTCAAAAGAACTGTAAGGAAAAATAGAAAAAAAAAAAAAACAGGACAAAGAAAGACATGGTATACAGATTGATGCAACTTGTGAGTCACATATCACTCAGCTGGTTAGGCATCATCAGGTTTTGCAGTAAAATGTAACTGAACTATCACAGTGCGACATTCTAATACTAAAAATTAAAAAAAGCAGGAAAATCAAAATCAGTACAAAAAAAAAACCAATAAGATCAAAACAAAAAAAGGAAACTATTATCACTTGATCAAAAGCCTAGAAGGGGAAAGACTAGAAAGAAAGAAATGAAAAAAGGAAGAACAGATCATCATAATACATTTATCCACATTTATAAGTCCACAATATGAGGACCTATGAGTCACATTTAATGTTAGGAAAAAAAGAACAAAAGAAGCAAGTCACAGAGTGAAATGGCATCTTCATGCATTCACTCTCTTAGAAAGAGAAGGGGCCTGCATGCTGTCCAGGACAAGAAGACGGCACTTGCAAAAACTAATACTGACCATCCAGTCATCCACTGAAGTCATTCATCCCCCTTTTCACATGCAGCCTTTCATTCATTGTTCCTGTACTCATAACATTTAAAAAATATATATTATATTTTTAAATATTCATTTTGAGATCTATTTACCTGTGCGACTTTCCATAGTCATGCATAACTTTTAGAGCTGCAAACATTGCTAATAAACTGATATAACCCATGGGCTTGACAAAGGAACTAGATCAACCACATCACCAAAAGTTTGTCACTCATCTCTACATAAAATGAGACTTTCTGGAACATCAATCCATCCATACACCTCTTCATTCATGTTGATGAATGAAAAAAAATCTTGCCTTCCAGCTCTCACTTACATACAGCGAGGGAAGAAATAGCAAAAGAAAAACAGCAAATAATTTTTAAAATAAAAAATGTGAATACAATAAATAGTGAAGCAACATGAAGGTAAAAAAAGTTGGACCCCTTGAATTTTGTAATGGGGAAGCAAATTGTTTGACCAAAAGTTAAAATATTCCAACAAAAAAAGGACTAGAAACACCATTCAAGGCATCCCAATGTAATGTACAGCATAGCAGTGATAACACACAATCTTTTTGTTCTGTAACAGGGACTATGATTCCTGGATTACAGGGTATATAGGACGGTCAAGCAGGTTACAAGAGTTAATCTAAAATATAATCAAGAGCTTTAGTTTGTAGCACCAGTGTTCTCATCCATACACCAGTAGTTAATAATAATGCCAGAAAGCATGAAATAGAGGCCTTGTACTTAGGATGTGACCAAGGAAGTATGCTACATGACATACAGAGCATACAATTTTCAGCAGCAAATATTTAAGCAAAAAATCAAATTACTGAAGAGACCAAAGCAATATTTCAGCAACATAATGATTTAGTTACAGTTACTGATGTAACACTTGCTTTGAAAATCAGTATAACTAATGTATTGTTATACTCACAAGTGCAAATATTGTGCATTGGAAAAAAAAGGAACCTGTCAATGTTTAAGGACAGTGTCCTGCATGTCAATCGAGGATGCTTCTTGGGTAGGATTAACTAGTGGAAGCCTGATACTTCCACTATGCAGATGAGGCAAGTCAAGTGGAGGCAGTTCCTCCTCTGTGTACGGTGGTGGTTTCCCCTCTGGGTATGGAGGTGGCTCCCCCTCTGAGTAGGGAGGTGGTACAACCTCTGTATATGAGGGTGGCAGATCATCCTGTGGCTTTGGAACTGGTGGAGATTCTGAATCAGCCATAGTCCCATGGCAAGGGAGAGGATCTTCAAATATGATGAATCTAGCTCCATTCCCAGGAGGAAGCTCATTGATAAGAGTCACTGCTGGAGGATGACCCTGAAAAATTAATTATACATTCATATCAATTGTCAGATAACAGATGATGTGGCAAAGAGGCAAGGAAAATGGTGTTAAAGGAAGAGGCAAAATATAGCCATGGCATAAAATTATAATTCCACTTTAACTTCCAACTTTATTTAGTTTCCTAAACTCTCAGTTGTAAAGGAATTTATCATTGCCAACTCCATCCATCCATATGATGGGGAGCATACAGAGGCTTTCCATGACTTCTCTATGATCATTGAATCTACAGGAAATGATAGGGGGGGGGGGGGGGGATGAGAAATGCAACAGAAAACTTCAAAGGCTGAGTTTGTCATTGACTGAGCCTTAAATCTGGAGCTTCTGGATTCCTAACATTCTTAAACCAATTGATGATTTTTGCCAAAAAAAAAAAATTTGGACACCCTCCACTCACTGAAAATATGATTCAGTCATGACAACTCAAACCATTGGTCTTGTTTTCTTTTCTCACCATTCACTTGTCCCTTTAAAAGACCCATAAACCATAATCTATACACTCGCTAATGAAAATGAAGCTGCAAAAGAATTTCATTATTTGCAAATAACACAATACTTTGTGGATAAAATTTTAATGAATTCCAAGAATATATCAATTTTACCCTGATGAATGTCAGATAAGTGTCTGAACTAAGTAGAAATCCTTGGAAATGGTTTCCCATATTTCTATTGGATGTGCCAACATAAAACCAAACATGGGGCTTTAAAGATCTGAGCACAAACAGAGAGTAAGAATTGACTAATGAACAATGGAGTTGAAGACTTCAAAGTCAGTGAATAAAAGTTCTACATGGTATTCATAACTTATAAAACAGATGGCAAACATTACTACACTTGGCCCCACTGAAAAATTATTGGGAGATGATGTCTCACTTTCACTATTATAATACAAAGGCTTACATATCTGTAATTGGTACTTTAAAAATTTTTTCCTCCTGCTCTGATCTGAACTTGAAAAATAGTAAAATATATCTGATTGTATATTTCAAAATGTTAATGTTCACATGGACTCTTGATAGAACTCAAAGGATTATAAGTTAGACCAATTCACAAGTTCAAATTACCGTGTTGGGATTGGTATGATGAACTTTTCAGCAAGGAATGAAGGAAAAACTGTTATTTTAAGCATTTTTCACTTAATTCCTGAATTTTAGAAGAGATAAAATCATGTTTTTGATGCAAAAATGGGGAGATGTAAATCTTAGCATCTTGCAAGCAATAATTAACATCTAGACCTTTGCCTAGGTCTAGTTGTGGTCTAGGTCTAGGTCTAGTTGTGAATCGTTGCTTGCAAGACAATTGGCCCAGAGCAATAATAGATGTTTATACTCACAACAAAGGAGAAAATATTCTTCTCCACACCTTTATTAGCCTTCTCCATCTGCTATGATAATAAAAGTCTATACTACCCCATCAAAGAAAGAGTAAATTGGACACAACTAGGAAATGTGAAACACTGTGATAGCATCATTCATTGATTCAAAAGTCAGCAAAAAATTCTATGGAGATCTAAATTTTCTCAAGCTATACAATATCTTAAATTCCATTCACAGAATAGCTAATTATGATTAAATATTGGAAGATCTAATGAATAAAAATGTCAGGGATATAGGTGTGTCAAGCAGTAGAAGGAAAATATGGGTACTTACAGGAACAGCAACCACAAGAAAGTAGGATGTAGACCGGCGACAGAGTTTCTTGTAGATGAAGCGGCAAGCTAGATAGATGATGACGCTGACAGGTACGATGGAAATGGTGATGAGGATAGCAGCAAAGATAGGGAGTCCATCGATCCTTATCAGCTTAATTAAAATATTCCCCATTATTATGAGGCAGAAGATACACCTGAAGATAGGATGCACCACACACATTCTGCACCAGCTGCACCGTCCCCCGTGACCATGACCCTCGCCATCGACGAGAGTGAGAGTGTGACTCATTGCTGAAGATTCTGTTGCTGATGCAGGAAAAGCCATTGTACTGCACCAATTAATCCACACCAGTGAACAAAAAAAATTAATCTGGTAAAAAAAAATGTAGAATTAGGTTAGAGTGGTCTCTGTAAGAAAGCATAATAACATTTTTCAGTTTTCTTTTCTTCAAAGATATTTAGCCTAATAGACCTCAGTCCTAGATAAGAAGGCACCAAGAAGGCTGCCTGGCAACACTTTAGACGGTGGCCTGGGCCCTGGAATAAGCTCTAAGCTAGATCTGATGCCTTCTCAAGTGGCTACAGGGTCATACAAGATGATTCCAGACAATGTATACATGCGAATGAATCAGGGCAGAAACAGTAGTGGACCATGAAAGCTGGCAGGGTAGAAAGCATTGCAACCAGGTAGGAATGATACATTAACTTTGTACAATGTTCTCACTAGTTAGGAAAATAATATTCCATGTTATGCATGAAGATTTTATTGCAGATGAAAGAGACACTTCTATGAAGGTAAAATCAGCTTAACTAATTGCATGGAATGAATGAAATAGATGACAAAAGGCAAAAAAATTCCAGTAGCCATGCCTTCCTTGCCCTTGTTCCATTTCAAATGAAGTCCAGCTATATGTATACAAGAAATTACTCGAAAACTTATCACAAACATTACAGAATTTGCATGCGTGTCTCATCTGATTACTGAATCTTTTGGGTAGTAATTAAATTTTCAGATGCTCTTCATGGGCATGCCAACAACAGGGCTCCAAGAACTTAATGCTTTAAATGTATAGCACCTAGGCCTACTTCAACATAGGAATTACCTATCTTTCGACATATGCTAGGATAAATTTTCCGGTTATAATCTAATGCAATAAGGGGAGGCTAGGCTAGAATGAAATCCGAATTTGGAGATACAGATAGAGAGACAGGCCTAACATCACCTATCCATCTGCCTGGAGCTATCAAGTATCTCCAAATGATAAAACGGTGAAACCGAAAAGAAGACTGCCGTCTGGAGAACGTTTTGTCCAGGACCTGAAGCCTACAAGCGCCAATAAGGCCATTGCTGTTGAGCATATGGTCTCGGCGCTCCCATAGACGAGTGTAGGGATCGTCAGCGCCGCTAGATGGCAGCATGTGCTGTACCCCGTGAGCCTGAGTTTTCACTTGGTGCTTTCGAATTCGTGCCTCGCCGTCGGAGCGCATCCGTCGATTGGAGGTAATGGGTGACATGCACCAAATCCGTTTAAGCTAGACTAATCTGATCTCACAATGGTTTCCTATAGGAATCAGTTTAACCAAGATAAACGTATTCCCACAGACGCCCATTATGAAAACGAATCAGTTTAAAGCAGGAATTTTCTCTTCGGTCGGAGATGGCACCAGAGAATCAAGCGTAAATAACCACCAAATTGTCCATTCCAAATTGTCAGTTCATTAGCAAAGGACCTTCAATCTTTGTTCCCGCAACTTCGCGCGTCTGAATGAGACTGAAGAGCAAGCATACACGATATTACTTACATATTTATCATCTAAAAAATTAATAATATTGCTCGAACGAAAATGGAAACGTGCATCAAGTAAATCCAGATCCCAGAGCGAGATCAGCCTAATTTTCTGCATTAAGCGCCGAAAGGCCAAGACTGAACCCTTTCTGACGACCTCAAAATCCCGAGAAGCTTGCAATTCGATAAATCGATTGGTATCTGCCATTTCGCCAGCAGAAACACGACGCTCGTGACGACGGGAAGCGACACCTGGACGACGGGAAGCGACACCTGGACGACGCGAAGCGACACCTAAGCGCGCGAAGCGACACCTGGCAGAGGAATCTCTCCCGCCGATCGCACGGACAAGGCGGCCTCGCTCCTCTCCAGGGAAGTTCCGAAGACTTGGTTATGAAGGTTAGGGACTTGAACTGGGCTTGAAGATTGGGATGCGGATTCTCTGTCGTCACACGGGACCCTGACGTGCATGGCCTTTGGATGCAGCCCCGACGAAACGTTCGGAAAAGCAATGGACCGTATACGAAGCTCGTGAAAAGTCGGCGGAAGACTGAACGGCAGGGATGTCAGATCGGTCGGCAGGCCGCACCCGAATTTTTTTTTTGTTATTCAGTCGGTTTTCACCTTTCAAGTTTGGGACGCACCGAATTTACGTTTTGTCCATCGATGGCAGTCGTTGGCACGTACCCGCGTTTACGTCTGTGGACGGATGCAAATTTGTTGGAAACAGGCGTGACTCATGAACCCTCGTGTGTGAATCGCACAAAGCCGCAACAGCACTGCAGTTGCGATGGCAGCCGCGTGGAGGTTGCACGCCTGGCTCCGTGGCTCGAAGGAAGGCTGCGGGTTGTCGACGATCCCTCGCGATTCGAAGGGTGGAATATTGGGACAGCGGCGGCCCTGGCCTGGGTCAACGCCATCGTGTAATTGACGATGATGGTGAAGGAGGGGTTTGGGAGTCGATCTGGGCAGAAATTTTTTAAGAACAGAGGGCCGTATGTTCAATACCCCTGCCGTTCAGGAACTGGCACGAGTACCCTCAATCGCAGTAAGTACTGCCCATGCTCGGACGACACCCCGGGCGAGAGCGACTTTTCCCGCCCCTCCGTAAACCGCTTATGCCACGCGAGCGGCGTTCGATAAGTTCGGTTCCGCATGACATGTTTGAAAGTGTTGCCGATGCACTGGAACCACGCGAACGTCTCCCTGTTCCATTTCTTCCATGACGACACTCGAAACACCCTCACAAAAACGCGTTCGGTGCTCGACCGTGCGAGCAGCGATCACCCAAAGGAAGCAATAGGGGGCCGACATCGCAGTGCAATGTCGGCCCTATTGCTTCCCTGCAGGATTGCCAACCCAGCCATCTCTGGCGATTGGCAGCCTCAATCAAACGAACGAGCCTTGCTCATCGGAATGGGCAGAGCTCGAGCGAAGGCGACAAAGGGTGTGACCGGGAGAATTCCTGGCTCGAAGAGACACATCCCAGAGAAAATATTTTGACCCGAGTTCATCGCAGTTTCCGGATCGTCGATGCCGAGTTTGAACTCTGAACGATCGTCGCGATTTCCCCCGACATCGTCTCGATCGAGTCGATTCCGGGATTCCTACTCTCATCGGAGGGAAAAGTTTTGGTTCGTTGATTCATTTCCAATTTTGCTAGGTTTTCTGAGTGAAATTGAATGCGCAATTTCATGATCTCGGGAAGTGGTGAAACGAATTTTTCTTAGTTATTATAATCCTTTGTGTACATTTTGAAATAGACTATTTCTTTTAAGTAACAGACAAAAGGGGTATATTTTAGCGATCAGTTGTAACAGATGCGTGCAGTTCTGAAATATTTTTTATAATTCTGAAGTGGAATTTGTGCAGTTCAAAACTGGCCAAGAATTACATTTTCTAACAAAATAACAAATTAATGCCATAAACTTATCTAAAAAAAATTATCACTGTATTCCTGACTTGAAAATGGTGCTAATGTAATTTTTCTTCCCAAATTTCTTGTCCTCCGAGTGGGGGAGGGAAGGGGCGCCCAACAACTTACCAATTTTTAAATTACAATATGCACTGACAGACACTATGTGGTGATGGTGTTTGGTGTCAGGACTGTAAGACTACCATGCAAATGTAAACGTGACCATCAATGTGATGCCGAAAAGGTTGACTCAAAACAAAAGGTCATGGAGGATTGCAGTCCAAGACTGCCTTTGTGTGGTCATTTGAGAAAGTTTCACTTGTGAATGTGAAATTCAATCGTTAGTTCCTCTCAATGGGAGAGGAACTGCAAATTATGTCAAACATGGACTTTTATTATATATTTTTCCTCTTGTATGCAGAAGAAATTTCATAAGCAAATTTAATGGTAGACAACATTAGGTGCATGCTGCAATGAAATGAGGTTAAAAAAAAATCACAAATACAAAGAGGTCAATAAATGCATCACAAATACAATGAGATCAATAAAAGCATCACAAATACAATGAGATCAATAAAAGCATCACAAATACAATGGGATCAATAGAAACATCACAAATATGATGATATCTGATTCAATTGTACTAATACACTAAGATAATAGCAGGCCTGAGATTCCAGCCTCATTTTGGAACCAACATCTTCACATGAAAAATTCTCATAGGCACTGGCTCAAGAAAATTGAAAAAATCACAATTGCCAGTCAAAAGCAGGTAATATTTTAAAATCTTTGTATCACACTTAATTGTGAAGCAAAATTTAATGGGGCTGTCTCATGACAATCCAAGAATAGTGACCGGTAAATCTGAAGAAACAAAAAAAAAAGGAAATTTCCTAAAATTTGTTAGCTGATCAAATCAAGCCAGGAGAAGGTAGCCAAGGCTTGAAACAACAAGTAAACAATTATATGGAATAACAAAAAAATTTTAAAGTACCAAGTGAAAATATTATCAAAGTCTGCAACATGCCTATGAGTTGCATTTAATTTTATGCAAACAGAAAATGAACTAGCCATAGAGGTAAATTATATCCTTTACCCTCATTCTTCCGGAAAGCTGAGGGGATTGTCTCCTGTTAAAAGTGAGATGAGACTAAGGGGCACTTGCAAGGACTAAAATTATCTAGAGCCTATTGTGACACTCATGCCAGTTAGTCACTTTCTACATGTGCAGCCTTTCATTCCTGCTGCAAAAATTATTGCTGCTTTACCAAAAAATATTATAAAATAAATGTTATTTTTCTTCTTCACCTGAATGTTACATTATTTTTAATCACTAAACCCAACAGCATTTTACATTCTTTTTTAATCATTTTAATCATTAACGCAACCAATAACCTGACATTACCAAAGAATTACCAAACACTCTTAATGGAACTTGTATTTCCTTGATGACTGTGCTAGGCCAATAACAGTTTTGCCGGCTGTCCAGAAACTTAGTTTTTGTTGGCAAGGTAAGTTGTACGTAAGTAAAGTTGGTAGGGCATAACTTTTGTTTTTGACTCGAACTTTGCGGTACAAAATTATCACAAGGATATTTTTCTATCAGTGTAGCAAAATTGTTGGTATATTCTATATTATCATTTTTTAAAGAAAGTTTCACACGAAAAACTTGACTAAACTTTTCTAAAAAGCAAAAAATTTTGAATGCCACAGCCAAGTACACTACCCTCCAGCTCTGCTTCTGCTATTCTTCCCCCAAGGGGCAAAAAGAATAGTGCCCATGTGGTACATCGCATGGAAAAAGCCTCAAGTACTGTAGGGGAATGAAGATTCAATACCACGTCTTCACGCTTAAACTTTGGATATTCATGAGTCCCAAGAATGATGAACATTGGGAAGACTTTGGAAGTTAAAGAGAAATACCAAGAAGAAATCCTTTTTGCATAAAGTATCAGTTAACATATTTCACTTTCAAATGTAATACGATATACAAGGTGAAATTATAAAGTCTGGAAAAAATGGGAAATTATTATTTTTTTGTTTGCCTCAGGGTGAAAATGTCAAATATAAGTATGCCTTTCACAAAAGAGGGACGTATTGAAGTGATCTTGTTGTGAGGACATGAGGGCTGCACAGCATATGTTTGAAGCATTTGTGTCTAGTGCTTCAGGTGTTTCCCATTGTTTCCAGACTTTATAATCAGCATATATACACATGTACCGATGAGCTTGAATGATTTTTCACTCCAGTTCATGCATTGTCAGAGCAAACTTTCAATTTTTCCACTTTGTCAACATGATGAAAATTAAACAAATTTTCATAAAAAGTATGCCTTTCTGACTAACCTCCACTTAATTTTCCACCTAATTTTCTGACTAACCTCCACTTACAAATACAAAGTTTTACCTGGCCAATAGGCCAGGTAAAAAGCCAATAGGCTGTGCCAATTTAAAAAATGTACTCTTCATTGTTGGAGATTTTCTGGAGCATCCATTCATCCATTCACACATGTATCCATCCAAATGGATGAAGCCAATCTTCCCTCTTCCACTTAGACAAAAAATATGAAAAAAAAAGGAATATGTGTCTGAATTTAGTAAAGTGAGTTGAACCAACATTTTGCTTCATGGCAAAATACACCAAAGAGAATACCTTATACAGAGTATTCAATGTATCCCAAAGGAATTTCAGCACTACAGTAATGGACACCTCCTCCTTTTGTTTGTTTCTTTACAAAATCTTTGATTTCTATAGCAGTCGGCATGAAGGACTGTCAAGCAGGTTTTAGGAGCATGACCAAAACAAAAGCAAGAGCCTGCCAGAAAGGACTAACAATGTTCTTATCCACATATTAATGGTAATGGAACAAAACTTGGAATGAAACCATACAGTCACACTTGTATGGATGTGGCAGAGGGAGGACATTTACAAGTTTTGATACAAAACAACTCTAATTTTCTGAAGTAAAATCTTCAACAAAAATGAAATTTGCAAAAAAAACTGCTAGAGCAGTGGTACTGAAACGTTTTGAGTAAAGGGGCCTCACCCAGAAATTCCACTTCACCGGAAAGTATGCATTGTACTTGTGGGCTGCACACAAGCCCTTTGATGGCCACATTTGGCCAATAGGCAATAGCTTTAGTTCTACTGGTCTAGAGCAATTTTTCTCTTCAACCACTTTGTAACAGTCATGAATACAACATTGGACTTGAAAAATGACATAATTACACAATAATTATCCTTTTAAGTGCAAAAATGATGCACTGTTTAGAATAAAACGATGTATCTATGATTACTTATGATAATGTGCTTGAAAAAAGAGGGTACTCTGTGGGACAAATTAGTGGAAGCCTGATGTCTCCATCACGCGAAAGAGGACATTCAGGTGGAGGCAATTCCTCCTCTGTGTATGGAGGTGGTTCTCCCTCTGTGTAAGGAGGTGGCTCCCTCTCTATGTAAGGAGGTGGTTCCCCCTCTGTGTATGGAGGTGGTCCTCCCTCTATGTATGGAGGTGGTTCCCTCTCCATGTAAGAGGGTGGTGGATCAATCTGGAGCAGTGGGGTGACTTGAAGCAAGTCCGTATCAGCCAAAGGGCCATGATGAGGCAGATGATCCTCCGTTCTGATCAATCTTGCTCCTTCCACTGGTGGAAGCTCACTGATGAATGCCACCGGTGCTTCTGGATGGACCTGAACAGTCAACTGCACATTATCATTTTTTCCAAACATAAGTCCTTTTAGAAAGGAGGATGAAATATCACAAGAAAATTAATTTCAAAATTGTGCAACCAATGAAAAACCAATTGCTATGCAGAAAAAAAGGGGCACTAAATCATCCAATTTTAAGTAAATGAAGTTGAACATGTGTAGAAGACATAGAACTCAAAGAAGGTTCTGATATTGGTCACCATGTCCTTAAATGCTCAAATGCACGAGATGCTGCATATTCTCTGCTACAAGCTCAAAGGTGTCCTGGGGTATTAATGCAAGATAATGCAAGATGGACTACATTGCAGTGACTTAATGGATAGGGTCTCAGGCTAGTACACAGAAGGTCCAGGTTCAGAAATAACTGGCAGCAGGTGGTATTCTTCTGGGCTCACATTTCACCTAGCTGCTTTTGGGTGCTACCTGCTCTCTAAAGCACAGGCCACTCTATGCTCCATTATGTGAGAGGTAGGAGTTTGGTGCGCCTTAATAGTAGCCACATCAGCCCAGGGGGCCTTAACACATTGAGGACAAGAGAAGCAAATTTGCGTTTTCATGTAGGGTGTTGTTTCACATTACTGTGATTCCTTTTGTGTACTATTTGGTTCTGAGATCTGCTGGTGTGGAATGTAGACATTCTGATGTTTCTTTTAGTACCATTTTTCATTGTCATCTATCCTCTTATTGCTTCATATTTATTTATTTGCATTATTAAAATCTACATAATGTGAAGAGTGCTGGTCCTCAATGTGTTAAGTGATGGGAGGGCCTCAGGGAGGGCCTCCCTTACTGTGTGTTCAGCTAAATGTGGCACTGTCCTTATCCTTGTGTGTGTCTGTCCCAGATTAGTCAGGAAGAAAACAAATTTCTGAGCAGGTTAAAAGGTCCGTAGATCATGTACCAAGGCCATAATTGAATCAGCAATGTAGCATTTGCCTAATTTGTGGGGGTCATCCATTTCAGCCTTGCAACTACATAACTTCTTTCATGAAAGAGCAATGTCTGTATCACCAAACCATAAGACCAGCTGACTATCCAAGCCAACATCACATGGGTTTAAAGCAGCAAAATCCGAAGACAGTAAGTAACTAGGTAGGTACTTGACTGGCTCCCTCAAAAAATATTTATTTTTGAGAAACATAGGTTTGTCTCTGTCTACACATAAACTTGACATGGGGCATCATAATAGGCAAAAATGCATGCCTTGCCCTGCCCATACCTTGAACCTTGAAGGATACCCAATCATTGGTTGTAGAGAATATCCAGCATTATGTGCACATTAGTGCATCCAAAAATGTTGCATACACATGGATGACTTAACTTCTATCACTTGAAAGTAAAAGCAACATAAGCAGGATTCTAGAAGGTTGGTGCATATGCAAGCTGCTTCCTAGCAGGTTGCATCTAAGCTTATATGAAGGTCACATGAGTGCCCTGATGGAAGATGAGTTTCATCACATATTCCTTCCTTGCACTTCTCAGTCTACTGTGACAGTAAGGATTACGCTAGCCCTTCAAATAGGTTTTGAATTGTATTTAGCGGGCAAATTAAAAAAAAGCCACATGCACCATACATCAATATTGAAAAACTTCTAATAATAAAAAAGTTATGATAACAAATTACATTCATCTATTTCAGTTTCTCCTCTGAAAACAGTTTCTTTATGTCACATATTAATAGGACTTGTCCTAAAGCTTTGAAAGGAATACCAGTAATCTGAAGTTCAAAGGAATGTTTCAGTTTTTAATATTCATGATTCCCAAGTGGTTGGAGGCCTATCTCTTCTCATGAAACAGGTACTAAAGGAACATATGGGCTAAAACATTTGAGCCATATGGATACCAGAAAGTATGAAGCAGAGTCAACACTTACAGGAACTGCAACCACAAGAAAAGAGGATCTGGACCAGAGGCAGAGTTTCTTGTAGATGAAGCCAGCGGCCAGACAAGTGAGAACACTGAGGGGCAGGATGAATATGACAAGAACAGCAGCAAAGGGCGGGGTGCCATCAAAGAGTCTTAGAAGCTGAAATAGAGCATTTACTGATATGACAGCATATATGACACACAAGAAGGCAGGACGTCCCCCACAACATCTGTAAAAGTACTCCTGTCCTGTGGGGAGACGATGGTGCTCAGGACCATCTCCACAATTAGCATGGGGCAGAGTTTGACTCATTTCTCCACTCTCCCTTGCTGACACAGATGAAGCCATCGAGCCACACTCAGATTCTCTCCTGCAACCAAAGAGAATATGTTTTTTCCAGAAAACAGATTTCAGGTGAAGCTGTCACTTTCTAACCAAATCTCTTGTCTAGGATTTTGATATAAATCCAGGGGGTCCCCATAAAGTGAGCAAATGCATTAGTCCGACACACTTGCCTTCAGGGAAAAGGCCAGTACTTGCAATCCCACTCCAACAATCCCAGCCACCCCCTTGTCTAACCCTGTATGACCTTCCCAAATTCAAAAAGAAAAAATGTTTCCTCCAGCTTTGATCAGCCCTCATTAATGCCTTATTGGGGGGGAGGGGGTGGGCAGATAGATAAATAGGGAAAAAAATAAAGAAAGCCTCATGCAGAAAGAGAGTTTCTTTCTTCAAGCACCCCCCTTTCTCCTGAGTAACACAAGTCCCCTATGCCTCTGGAGGCTGAGAAGCTATGCTACTTGTAGAACTGACTAGGCTGCTTCAAGGATATCCTGCAGGGAACCCTGTTCACACGATCAATTAAGTCTCATTCCAGGATATGAAGATGTGCCTATTTTGACAAAGTAGAGCCATAGTAGAAGGATCCTCATATATCCTGGGCATGCCTTGCATCCCTGCATTCTCGGAACCCCTGGGTAATCTAGCCCTCCTCAATCAATTGCTCCCTCTCTAGCTATCAATCTAGCCTTCCCATCCTATCATTAATAAGGACAGAGATGCTAGGTCTAAACAGCAATTGACTATTGTGTTTGTGTTTCCAGTTTTCTCTCACACTATTGAGAGCTGCTAAAATATTTTATTAATGCATGTTGGGCTCCACAGAGTGACCTGAATGTCTCCATTTGAGCTGGATCAGGAACCCTTTTGAGCAGAAATGAGGTCATATAAAGTCATTCCATATCATATCCATTAGTGAAATGGGTAGAGACAGGGAAATGAACCATGGGAGCTGGCAGCAATGAAGCCTTTGCCAGGATGAAGAGACAGCATAAATGTTTTTGTCTTCACTACCAACTTCCAGGACCTAGCACTATAACTGTCAGCATGACATGTGCCTGTACTATTGACAAAGGATATTGGAGTAGATGTAAGCGATACTTCAATTATGGTAACATTAACTATAGCAAAATCCATTGAAAACTTGACTTGTAACAAGGCATGAGGAGGACAGATGTTCATTAATGAACTGTAGTGCCATCTCAGTAACCATAAATCCCTATTTAGCTCTGAACTTTCTGATGGGTTTAACCATTGCCAACATGTCAAGGATAAGTTTTCTAACAACTCACATCACTGGTTGACTAAACTCAGTTTAATCAGGGTACAATTTTTTGCCCCTGTTTGAGTTCCAAGCATGGAGTCACTCCGAGGTCATCTGGGAACCACATGCATCAATGAAAGCATAAAGAATCATTCCTTAGAAAGCATATCACTTGATCAGAAGGATACCAGAAATGTAAAGTTGCTTTCAAATAACTTATTAATAATTCTTGTGTACTTCTTTAGTTCTTTAAGGTTTTTAATTTAGGTTCTCTTAGGTATACAGTTTAGTTTTCAAGTGAAACTTCTGGCCTAATCAAGGTCCTTGAATTAGGGGTAATCTGATTAAGCAAACTAAGGTATTTAAAATAAGTTCAGGAGCATAAATAGCAGACTACTGATTAATTAACAAATTTAATTTTGACATTGATCGGCGTCCTCCCACAGATGGGCTCTAATTAAACCCTGAACGCACTGCCTTAGCAAATGATAGGCCTAACTTTAGGCCTATCTCAGCATACGATACCCCCATCTTCAGGGTCAGCAAAACCAGTTACGAAAAAGGTACACAAACGACGCCCCCCAATATCATCTTATCACCACATTCAGTAGCTGCAAAGTCACCTCGCCGACCCAGCTCCCCCGATTGAATCCTTTGACTGCGCCAGCGCCTGATGAAGGCAGATGAGTGCGATGAGGACTCCTATTCATCTGAATCCAGGAAATGCGCGCCACGGAGTGGCGAAATGCGCCTATACAATAAACAAATTAATGAATTGCCGCTAAATATGCACACTAGATGCAAAGTCTGGACGAGCCAGAAAATATTCAATTTATCTGCCATTAATTTTTTGTGGAGTCCTCGCGCCCTGCTACGTATGACGTCACGATTAGAGAGCGAGGAGGAACCTCCTCCTCCCCTTGCTGACGTCACGGTCAGCCGTCCACTTCCCGCTCTCTCCCTGGCCCTCCCGTTTGTATTGCTGCCAGTCGTCCGGTTTTGGGCGTCGCGGCACCACCCGCGTCCCGTCCGAGCGACTGCTCGACTCCGGTGTGAAGCCTGACGTTTGATTCTTTCAGTAGCTGGTTGCGTGAACCCGCTATCCCGTCGGTGGGTGCATGTCTGAGGGAGTAAGGGAGTGGAGTGAATCGCCGTTGGGAACTCTACGAACATGCGGCAGCTTTCCCTCGTTCTCGATTTATTTCGTGTTAGCACCAGACCTCGCATGCCGAGTTCTGACATCTTTCCCCCATACTTTCCTAACTACACCGAAATAATTCTCGCGTCCTCTTCCACTCGTCACGACGATTGCCCTTCCGCCTCTTGCCAGGAATCACGAGTTGCTTCAAGGAGCCAATCCCAAGGCAGTCGGCGCGAACGAGACACGCTTCTGCCCTGCTTGGAGCCATCTTGTAGCATGTTCGTCATGAACGATTCCTCGCCCATAACGAACATTCTACCTTTGGTTGTTGTCTGCACGACCCTTCGCCTCCGGTATGGTCACTCCCTCTCTCCTAGAAACTTATCCGTTAGGAGACCTCTCAACTTCGGTCGTTACTTATAAACGGGCTATAGGATGGAGCTGATAGAGGGGTTCGTGGTCGGTCTTACAAGGAGATTTATCCATGCCAGCCAGATGGCGCTGTGGTAGCACGTACTTTCAAGAAAGGGCACGTAACGATGCCCATTGAAATAAGGGAATTAATGAATAACGAAAGGGGGGAAATGGGAACAGACTGACGCATTTTGGGCATGGGACACCCAGCAGCAGCCGAGAGCAAACGGGGAAAAAAGTTTGGGACTCTCCGTCCGGCTTATGACGCGGGAGCGTCGTCTCCCCCAGTGTAATTTGCGTGAGTGTTAATTGCCTGATCTAATGAGAGGGGGAAGGGAGAAAAGGTCAAGGGTCTTTCGAAGTCAAGGACTTCCCATCCTTCCGTGAGAAAGCTTGCCTTTGCGAAAAGGGGAAGAGTCGCTCCGATGATGTCTCATCGATCGTTGAGGAAATGGCACGAGGACGATGCAATTGCACGAATGAATGGCGTCACGTCCTCCTTCATTCTGCTCCTTTTCTTCCCACTCATTTAATGAGTTGTCTTTGTTCTGGATCGGGTCGGCGACCCATCAGCACGAGGCTCCGATTTTATTATTATTATTATATTGCCGTTTCATGTGGATTTTCTTTTTAATTTCTTTAATTTGATTTCGACAACGGCAACGCTTGATGGCAGCAGCGTCTGCTTGGTTTATCGGGACGAGGATTCGGTCAAATTCAGATTTTCTCCCGTTCGCATAATTTTTTTCCTAAAAAAAAAAATTCGTGGATGCATCGCTACGAAATCTGGAAATTGCAAACGATTTAGCATTCCTGTCCATCTCGCCAAAATCAGGAATTCCGTCGCGTCGAACGACATTTGCTTCAGAGAGCTCATCGGAGTTCGTCGATGAAGTGGGGGGAAAGCCGGGGCAATATTACAATAAGTTGGGGCAATATTGCAATAAGCCGGGGCAATATTGCAATAAGTTGGGGCAATATTGGTCCAAATCGCGGCCTCCGACTGGCGGTCGAAATAAACTCCCAGGAAAATATTAACGGAACGCAAAGGAAAAATCTATTTAAAAATCGAAAGACACTTTGACACAATCGACGTATTTCCGGGCACGACAGGGAGGAAGTGCCATTCAAAGTGTGCCAATTCCCGTCCTCCGACACCTCGTGATTCCCCTCAAAGCCATTTCAAAAGCCATTTCAGAGGAATTCAAAGCCATTTCGGAGGAATGAAGTGGAGCGTGCTCGAAACTTTCCACTCACAAGATCCCTCTCACTCAACCATGAGAAGTTCTGTAGCTCTCGAAGAAAACAGAATCTCGCGTTGATGTCAACTTCCGCTTTCCCCCCGGGTTAGAGGGATTTTTCGCAGAATCCTGATCGAAAGGAAGATATGACTTCCTCCGATCGATGGAGAGGGGAAGACTGGTTTTGCGGGTTCGTCTCTTTCGCACGGTGCTCGTTTTATTTGGGTGCTTTTTGCAGGCGCCGCGGGGGGGGAGTCGCGTTCGAGCGTCGGATTCTGGCGGAAATATACGCGAACGCGGAAGAGGCTTGACGAAAGTCAGTTTCGCGTCAGAAATTAACGAGAAAAAAGAATTTAGTTTTTCAGTTTTTTTTTTATTATTCGGGTGAATTTGCACGATCGGATTTGCAAAAGCGAGGGAATTCGACCGCGAATCGAAAGGTCGCAATTCCAGCGAAAAGGCGACCGGCGGCGAATTTCGGCGACAATGATTTCTGCTTTGTCAAGGTCATCGGTCCTTTCCCCCGAAAATTGGCTCAAAAAGGCAAAATTGCCAACATCCGTTCGATTTTCGTTGCGGCGAAGGTGAAGCTACATTTTTAAATATTTCGAATACATTCTGCATGCATTCACGTATTAATTCTATTTATCGCTCAAATGTTTATCAAATTTAAATATGGAATTTATCGTTCGAATGTTACTTTTGAGAGATTTCATCGACAACTCACGCAATTTTGCACGATAATTAAGGGAAAGTCCATTCGGTAAGCACATTGCTTCAGTAATTTATTTTCTCCAGTACATCTTACCAAGAAAATGCATAACGATCCAGCAAAATATTTTCTAATTTATGAAAATTCTACAATAAATGTTTAAAAAATCTTTATTCTCATTATCATAATTCAACCGTCCGCTCGCGACTTCGAAACCCAAGCAACCCAAAAGCAGTGGGCCAAAAGCAGTGGGCCCCGCTACTTGTATGGAGGGCCGCCAGCTCTCTTCCCGGGATGTAGCTGGCATTCCCCCAGGTGCAGTGCGAAGAGTCCCCGCTAGATGGTATTCCTGTTCCCTGCGCCCTACTAACGCGATGAAGTACCTATCTTCCTGATTTAGCAAAGGTGTTTCTTCCTCGTTTTCCGCTTTTTAATGTGAAATTCATAAACAGGTAATAGGAAAGCGTGAAGTTAGGATGTTCTGATTGCAATATAGGACTCGGGGAATTATTAAATGCTAAAGTTAATTATGGGAATTCAAAAGTGTACAGGACTAGTGGAGGGTAGCGACATCAAAGTTTTGAAGTATCATATGTAAATATGATTTGGAATTCGTAGACTATAAGTCACCCTCCTAGAGGTCCGAATTGGATGCGGAAGAGGAGAACAGTGGGTCATCTTGGCATTCTTGGTTACTCGTCTGAGTAGGCTCCAGAGCCAAGATTTATCAATGAGTCGAATATGCATTAGGACCCTTCCCAGCTCGTGGTGCGCCGCAAGCGAGCTAACTGGTAACTGACTTGGAGCCAACTTCAGCGGTCCTGAAGGCGGCGGGCCAGTGCTGGCAGGAGGGACGTGTATCTGGTGGCCCACAACCATGTGAAGTTGGTGGGCCACCACCTGCATGCTACTTGGGAACATCTCGAGTGTCAACGAAACTATAATAAATAGTCGAAATTTTTTTTTGGCACTCAAAACGAGATATTCGCGCACTCTCAATGGAGTTCTGAGCTTTTCGCAAAATTTTCCACCGCTGTAGATATTGCGTGTTTTTGACTGGAGTTGGCGCAGATTTTGCAACATTTCAGGAATGCTTCAAACTTGATAGAATTTTTTATCAGCTGCGCCGTAATCGGCACCATTTTTATTATTATTATATATGTTTAATTCAATTTGAAATTGATCACAATGAATTGCTCGGTCATGTCTGAACCAGGAATTCCATTTTCTTGCAAAAAACTTCATTTTTGTTCGCATTTTCCTAACATGCCAAACAAATTTGCACATGGGTCATAATCTCCAAAAGTGAACACCAATCCCTAGATCTCCTAAAATCCAAAAATACTGGGGGGAGGGGAAATCCTATGAAAATTTGCACAAGAGAAAAAATCCGCACAAGAGCAAAATTTGCCCGAGAGCAAAAATATCACAGATGGCAAAATCTATTAAGTGGATGCAAAAACACGCACAAAACATCGGGAAGCATCGCAGAATCGATGATGAAAAGGGAAAAATTAAATAAATGTTTTGCAAAATTCATTCTGAACTGAAATGGGAAAATTCACCGGAATAATTTTTTTTGCACATGTGGCAAGCGCAAAAGTGCATTCAGCTGCCCGCCGTCACGTTCCGAAAGCCGGCAAATATTTTAAGATCACAGTGGCAAAAATAAATAAATGCTGCGTGATTAAATAAAACAGTTACCATTCCTATTTCAAATATTTGCAGGTTAGCGAATGCGAAATTTCAGCGCTATTTTTGTACTCTGGAGTTGTGCCGTTTTCGTCGGCCGTTTCGAGTCCGATCGGTCGTCCCCGATCGGACTCAAACTTTTGCACGAGCGCTTCATTCACGACAATACCGCTCACATACACGAACCTGCAAACACGATATTTTTTTATGGTAAAGGCGCTTCTGGATGAGCTTGTACGCGCGAATCCTCCGAAAGGAAAGATGAGATCTCCCGAGCGGCGGATGCGTCGGGCGGTTCGGGCCTGGTGGCTTCCGCGTACGAAGGAGGAGGGAAAGGCGGCATCACACTCGGGTCGCTATCATCCACCGGTGCCTCCTCCTCCTGTGTGTCGTGCACCAGGGCCTCTTCCCGTCTCAAATGCACCGATTGCTGCTCCTGGATGTCATGCACCGAGTGCTGCTCCTGGATGTCATGCACCGATTGCTGCTCCTGGATGTCATGCACCGATTGCTGCTCCTGGATGTCATGCACCGATTGCTGCTCCTGGATGTCATGCACCGAGTGCTGCTCCTGGATGTCATGCACCGAGTGCTGCTTCTGGATGTCATACACCAATGGGTCTGCATGCGCGGGTGGATCCATTTCTGGTTGAACCTGTACACGATCCACCGATGGTTCTATATACGGAGGTGGGTCCATCACTGACTCCAACTGTATATAATACGCAAGTGGTCCCATCTGTGCATAATCAACTAGTGGTTCCACGTATAGGGGAGGATCTAACAGCGGTTCATCCTCTGCGTAATTCACCAGCGGTTCATCGTAAGCGGGCGGATACACCGACGGATCATCCCGCTTTTGAGGGTGGACCACGGGAGGGCCCTCGTCTGCCAGAGGGTGGACCGGGGGAGAGGGCAGCCCCGATTGCGCTGTTTGCGCTCCGACGTCCGTGAACGGCGCTGCTTCGGGGTCGACCTGAAAAGTCGAGGGTAACGACGGGTGTCTCCTCGTCTGAACGTGTCGGTCGATCGCAAAAGGTAAACATTAGAAAAAAATTTGATCTGATGGGAACCTGGAATGTACGATCCGCGTGCGTCAAAGAAGGAATTTCCATTCCTAATTGGTAATAAGTAAATAAAATCCCTGACTGATCTGATTTCTACGATGATTTTTATCTCTTCCAAGGCAAAAGGCAGGCTGGAGACAAA